TTTTAGTTTTTCAAACATAATTCTATAAATATAATATAACACATTCTATTATATAGTTTATAAATATTATAAAATATAATTTAAAAAATATTTAGGTATGTGCTTTTTTAATAATTGTTTCAATATCCGTATCATTTGAAATATAAAATTTATATTATCTCGTCATGAAGCATTCACTTTAGACGAATTAACGTGTTCGATTTGGTTTTTATCGAATAATTACTTGATTTATATCATTTACTAGTTCTATGTGTTTTGAACACGAATATACATTAATTTCGTATGTCAAATAATCTTGCATCCATTTTTGTTATTATTAGTAATAACCAATATGCAGTGTTCTGAAATAGTATCATTTACAATAAGATATAATCATTTCAAAATAATTTGAATCACAAATTGAAGTTACCATTTTTTATGAAGATATATTTTTATTATAAAACCAAATCAATTGGTTATGATCGTGTTTTTATCATCAATTTGCGGTTTTTAGTGTCTTCACTTTAATCACTAAACTATTTAATAGTTTTGAACACAATAAAACAAGTTATATAAAAAAGTTTTGTATTAATACTTCTAATGTGTATTTTTCATCATATAAATTATCACAGAGGTAATGTTCTATTGATATAAACAAAGAATTTTGACATTTTTGTTTTTTGGACAATCAAAATATAATTATTTGTTTTGTTAAAATATCCCAAATATTTATTTCAATAGATAATTTAAATTGTTTTATTACATTCATCAATGTAACTGATTCATAAACAAGCAAATGGCAACAAATCATAGACATGACACAAATTCGGATAATGACACGAAATATAATAGTAAATTTTATGTACTGAAGTAAAATTATTGTCAAAAGGAAAATTTGACACTTTAAATTATTGCTGTAACAGATTTTTTGAGTTTGTTTTTAATCAATTATCTTGATAAAGACAATACTAAAAACTAATGACTTTTTTGTTAATGTCAGGGGAAAGTAAATATACATAATAGACAGAAAAAAGACGTTGGAAAACTCAGTAATTCATATAATCAATAAAAGAAATAAAATTAATAGTCTACATAGTTGGTATTTGAAAAGTTTTTAATTATTTCAAAATGACTATTGTATTATTAATTTTATGTGTTTTTTATAATTTTCATTGCTGTGTTAATGTTTCACAATGCAATTCATATTTTATTTCAACTTAAAACCAATTGTTTTTTATTGTTTTATGTATAAAAACATATTTATTTGTTTTGGAATAAATGTTATTGCATTTTACCAATATTATTATTTTGCCATTTTTTTACGTTTTTGTCTTATATTTTATATTTTTTTCATTTTTTTTCACATTTTATTTGTTTATTAGTTCACGATTTGAACTCGTTATTCCATTTTCATTTTACTATAATTGAACTACAGTGTATAATATAATTTTTTTCAAAAAAACAAAAACACTGCTCTTTTTAGCAGTATTGGTTCGTTGGGGATTTGGTACGTCGGCGAGTTAAGGCTTATGCGATTTTTTAGAATATTTTTTATATTAATATAAAACCATACAAAAATAAATCACAACCATAAGTTATTTTGGTTTTTCGACTAAAAAAATAATAAAACAAAAAAATTATGGAAGAGATAATAACAACGCTTATTGAAACGATCAAGAACAAGCTAAGAACTGGTAGTATACAATAGAGTATAAACAGTTATCAACAAAAAATACAAGAAAAAAAGATATCAACCAAAAATAAAATGAAAGACTATAAAAATGCAACGTTTAAAGCAGGCAAATTCAAAACAAAACTTAAAGAAAAAAGCATTCGATTTATTATAGAATCTTTTTTTGATAATATATTCCTAGCCAATAATATGGTCCAACAGATTCAACAAATCAACAAGTTCAACAAAAAGCCATATGGTTCAAAAGGGGCGATCAGCGCATTATTTGGCCTTCACGGCGGTGCAATACATATCCATATTAATCGAGAGAGTGAATAACCACAACACTATTGCAATTTTACCACAGAGATGGATTTTGGAATACAAGAAGTGTTCAAATACTGCGACTCCAATAATAAAGCAGTAACATCTTATTTGATTGAACTCTTGTGCAGAGATTTCAATGACCATATCAATTTCAAACGTAAAGTAATCATCAAACACATTGAACAAGTTCACAAACATGTCATAATTGTTACGAATCCAGAAGAAGCAGTGAGACTTCAATGTGATTTAAATAATGTGGTTGACAATTTTTGAAACTTTTGTTGACAATTTTAATGGTATTGATGCACAATACATTTACTTTAACCTTTCCAGTACCAAAAATATCCAAAAAATGTAAACTTATTTATATCTAATTCATTTTGAGTGTATATTAGAAAGAAATAATGCAAAAAACGTTTTAAACTTTTTACAACCATGGGTAATACCAGGAAACATAATTTATAATAAAAAATAATTTGATTTACTACAAATTAATAGTAAATTTTAACCCATAATCGTTTTTTTATTGAAAAAAGTTCACTTTATTTGGTAGGGAAACTTGACTATATTTCATGGTATTTATTTCCTAGTTAAAAATTTTTTCCTTTTTATATCAAAAATTTTGAGTAAGTATTATAAACTCTATAG